GGGGCGGGGCAAAGTCGGGATCCTCATTCCCCACAGGGACGGGGATGGGGTTAGGATTTTTAGCCCCGCCGGGGTTTGGGGCAGGGAATTTGAATTTGGGGTCGGGTACGGGGCCTGACAAAACTCAGCCCTGCCTTGCCCCTTTGCCATTCTTATTTTTGCACATACACAAAATGAGCCATTTTTAAAAACCTATCAACCACAACCATAATAATTTACATCACACCTGTGTCTAAAAAAACCTACCACGAACTCCATATTCACTTAAACTTGCGAAGATGTAGGGAGTAGGGACTTGAATTTCTATGGGGCTGTTTGGCATCGTTGCTGTTTCCTGGAGCAACGACGCCATATTGGAAAAAACGGTGATCCAGGAAACGGGCATTTGTTTGGAACCATTCTTCCATAAAAAGTGGTGCTTCAAACCATGTCTCGGAAATCGGGAAGCCATGGCTTGGAGCAACGCCAAATTTGGTGTTTCCTGGAGCTGCAGTTTGCTTCTGCCAATAGGGCAGTGATGTGGCATTGGATAATGGGTACCAGTGCTGAAAACGTTTCCTGGAGCAATGGTTTTAAACATAAAAAGTGTATGTTACTCCAAGAAACATCCTACCTATCTGCAACGATTCCAAATAAAAATAAATGCACAATTTTCTGAGAAAATGGTGTTTCAAACCACACATCAGGAGCACTGTTTTCTCACTGCAGCATCGATGCCAAGCATATACTATAATACAGCCGTGGCGCTTTTTGTCTGCTGATATTTTATTAGTTGGAATAGTCAGCATCACTTTAAAAATCTAATGACGTCTGGTGCCACTTTCCAAAAGTAACATTATTCTACCATGGCGAGTCATTATTTTTCCAAACTTTTCATCTTGTACAAATTTCATTGATTTAGGTATTCCGGAGCAACTCTCTTTGCCGGCTGAGTCCCGTTCTCCTTTACACCCAAGGTGCCCCTAGGGATACAAATGTATCAAATTGAATTCCAACATTTCAAATTTCATTCGATTATATTACCGGATATATTATTTGAATTCGATTTGATTTGATTGTAGAGGTTAGAAAAGGATATCTGGATATCTGATTTGAATTTCAGCTCAATTTGATTTGATCCAATTGTTTTGATTGTTAAAAATGTAGGGTTTTATTTTTTTGGGAAAAATAATGGCTTCATTCAACGCACACCAGAAACAAATACATGGCAACATATATAGTTACAAAGAGACTAAAAAACACAGCGAAACCAAAGGAGGCAACCTAATAGAAGACCCGTATTAAGACCATAAACTAAACACCGCAAAGAAAATCAACTACCGGCCCATCCTTTTGCAGAAGCAGCACAACTTGATATAAAGAATGGGCTGCTTCTACTTGTTCTATTATTTATATTTAACTAGTAAATGTGCATGTAAATTTGCAAGTAACAATTTAAAATAACAATAATAATTTTAGTATTCTCAATTAAACTGATGAAAGCAAAGATAAGTAATAAAGCATAGTGTGCTGGTGAATTTATATTTTGTATTCTATTTTCATATTTCTTCCAAAAATGAAGCCAACTCTTACCCTAAGCAAGGTTTTAAAAACTGCACCAGACATGGAACTGTTCCGGGGACTGGTTTCCGGGTCGAATGGTCTGACTGTCTGGTTTGAATGGATGGTTCATTCTGACTTCAAAAAAATAAAAAAATTGGCAAAAACCGTTGTCCAGGTCGACGGTTTGACCATTAGGGTTAGTGGGTCATTGACCAAATCAACGGTTTTTGGCCAAAAAGCGATTTTAGGGTGAAATGGAACTGGTTACCTGATCGGTTCTTAGGTCAATTGGTTTGACCATCTGATCCGATACGGTTTTCAAAACCATGTACCCAAGTACAGTAGGACTTTTTGGTATGCCACACTTGGACAAGAAATGGGCTTAAATTCTTGCCCACTTCTAGATAGAAATTGAACAGATGACCATATCAAATTTTAGCATGATCCATTCTCCACTCCTGTCCAATCTTGGCAATAATGAGCCAAAAATGGGAGTTTGGATATGCTCATCATAGAGCACATCTCACACCACGTTCCATCCGTGCATCAGGAACATCTCTAAAATTGTAAATTTTTATTCATGGGGAGATGTTTCCAATGCACGGCTGGAACATGCTGTGAGATTAGTGTGAGGCACACTCTTTGAGGAGCAGATCCAAACTTCAGAAATGGGTTCCTTAAAGTGAATCAAGTGGGCCCCATCACCCCCTAAGTACAGAGTGGCGGTTTGTGAGTAAACTTGCTATTAAACTTTAATGGCCTGGACGTGAAGCCAAGCACAATTTGGCTTTGGCTTTCCTACACAGAATTCTACTCTCATGACACTATACTGTACATAAAAACATCTCCCCATTAATGATAGCATGCAAATATAGGAGATGTTCTAATGTATGACCAGTGATGTGTGAGTAGGCATGGAAAAAAAATCATATACTGGACTTGAGTACCATCCATGCATACCACTGCTATTACTTGCCTTTCATAGCACAACTATTATTTGATTTTATGTGCATGTAATAAAAGTTAAATTCAACTGGTAAATACTTGTAAGAATAGCAGAAAGGGGATAAAGCGAAGCCACTTTGCAATGGGAACCCAAAAGTTATTTTCCATTGACAACGAATCCTTATTCCTCAGCCCACTAAAAATCCAAGGTTGGCCTCTTAATATGACGTGGACTCGTGGGATCATCTCATCGGTTGGTATGAAGAAACACTCTTTACACTTGCATTACCCAAAGGGAGCTCCCCTACTATATTTGTCAAGTAGCTAGAATTCGGGATTAACTAACAAATCAACTACCAAGTAATCCTTCTCTCACTAATCAAATAGAATTCGAGTCGTACCCAAAATCCCTAGGTAATGAAACTCGGGAAGACTACTAGCTAGCAAGGAGTTGATGAGAGCCACGAGGTAGAAACCGTATTTGAGCATAAATAGAAGAAAAATACGACTCTCTTCTCCACCAACAGTCAGATACTCCGTATCTTTCTACGTCTCTTCTACTCTCTATTTCTTTCTCTTTCTTCCTTTCTTTTCAGGCGTACGGACAAAATCGTCTCGTCCAGGTTAACAATCGTCATCCCCCTACTCTTTATTCTTTCCTTCCCCCTTTCTCTCGTCTTTTTATCTTTCTACGTATAAATAAGGGTTCCAGGTCTTCTGTTTCGGGCATTAATAATCTGGTTCCAAAGGCTCAGTTGGTAGAGCAGATTTTTGAAGAAATCGAGGTAACTTCTTTTCTCTTGTTTTCTCTGTTCTTCCTTGATAAATGCGAAGTGGTCTGTTTTGCTTGGAACCGATGCTGGGTTGAGAAATCCAAAATGGGGCTTTGCTTCCTTATCCGTTCATCCGAAGCAGTTGTTTACTGTTAGTCCATATTGGTTTCTTTGCCTGATCAGATTTTCGAGCTCTGGATTACTTTTTATTTGCGTTCTTTATTGTTCAAGAAATTGCTTTTCTTTTACGAGTTCTGAATGAATCTTGCTTTCTTTACTCTCCCACGAGGGTATTTTCGTCGTTTTACGGAATCATAAGACCCATAGAAAATCCAAATATTATGGTTTGTTTGATGACGAATTTGCCCTTCTCCTTTTTCGGTGCTTTTCTTCTTCGCAAAGGTTTTTATTTTTATTTTTCTGTTTAATGACGAATTTGCCCTTCTCCTTGTCTCGTTAGGGTTTCGCCTGGCGAGATAGAGAAAGCAATGGTGGATATCGAGTCAAGTGGAAGCGCCAACCGTATTAAGAAGTGTGCGTTTGACCTACTCTCGATGGGGGATCTAATGGACGATGAGGATTCGTGGGACCTCATAGGGAGAGATCTCCGCCTCAGATCCACCTTCCTGTATTGTGACTTCAACCAAGTGATCTCCAGGGCGTCGGAGGAACAGAAGAAGCCTCTCACCGACCTTGCCAACAGATTGTTCCACTACATCGACGAGGTAACTCCTGAATTCTGTACCCCCCTCTGGTTCGTGAATGTGGGCCGTACGATTGGGTGATGTCTAATGATTTCCTTTTGGAATGTGGGGTGCAGTTGAATAGTGCGGTGAAAATCCGAAACATTCCGTTGACGCAAAACCGATACAATGAGACAGTACTGGTGTTGCAAGAAGTGATGGCGCTTATGCCTTGAGATTTGGCTTCTAGAGTGATCAGAGGGTCAGAAGGGTCCTTGGATTTGTATCTCTGTATTGGCGACCTACCTGATACCCATATCTGTAAATACAAGTATATCGCTATAAACAAGACCCAACTGGTTACATAGATATCATCATTTTCCAATGTTTTACAAATCGAATCGGAATTGGAATCGCTTTAGTTACCAGTTTCTTGGTTAGAAGAAAGGTTTAAACTATCGAAAACGTAAGGTGTATAAAAAAATCATTTTAATAGATATATTGGGATAACCATAAGTATAGACGAAAAATCAAGGTATATATAAATATGTTAAAAAAAAATTAAATAAATCCTAAAAAATATACGGAGAAGTACGGATAGGTCCATTGCAAAATTCTGATTTCTATTGCAGATCTACAATATTTCAAAAGGTCAATGACCCCCACCCTATGCACCAATGCCTGCCCGTAAATTAGTATTAATTCCGAGCTAATACTTATCCCAACTGTACTTTGTGCCTATGAATTCTGACCCTAGGTCATCATTTTTCTAAAAATATATTGATAACAATAGTTACAAGTTTGTTTATATAATTGTAAATAAGTTATTTAAAAGTAAAAAAAACTGTAATTTAATGATCTATATAAAATTCAAGATATTGGAACACACTTAGTAACTATTGACAAATGATGAAATAATTAAAATTTGAAAAAACAAAATTTTAATATATTTACTAAGAGAAAATTTACTTATAAATAAAAATGGATAAACCTTTAGCAAGCAGATGGGTGTGGGGGCACTTGTGGCTTAGTGGTGATCCTCTAGTTGTTAAATTTGTAGTTTTATACTAACAAAATGAATTTAATGAGAAAGAGGGTTATTAATTAACAAAATTAATGAGAAGAGAATTCCAATTAGGCTTTAAAATTGAAATTGAAATTTACAATTATGCATTAATTATAGGAGTAATTAACTAATTAATGAGAGAGAAATTGCACTTATAGGAGTAAATATGAAATTAATGAAAGAGAAGGGGAGTTGTATTAGGCTGTATTGGATTGTTTCGGAACTGTATTGGTCGATACAGGCCCGAAACAGTCCGATACATACAAAAAGGAATGCTATAGATAATTTCTATACATTCTGTGTATCGGACTTGTACCAGAAAGCTACAGATAATTCCCACGATAGCCCGTTGAAATTTAAAAAATAGAAAATAAAAAATTATTAAGATAAAAAACAATAAAAAAACGTTGTTTGAGTCAAATTGATTTGATTGCTTGAATCAATGGTTTGCTGACCAAGTTAATGGATTTTGACAAAAAAAAAAAGGCTCAATGGTGAAACGGAACTGATTGCTTGAATGATTTTTGGGCTGATTGGTTTGGCCGTCCAAAACAATGACAGCTTGAAAACCATGTCCTTTTTTTGATAGTATTAGGTTGGAGTCGTTGGACTAAACCCCTTCGGGTTGGGTTGTGAGTGGGTTAGGGTTGGTGTTGAAAAGTATGAACTCGGCTTAACTTTGGATTTAGCCTTGGTCAAGGAGTGATCCCAAAGTTTGGACCAGTCCAATTTAATATTTGGACCATTCAATTTGTTCAAATTGGTTTTAATTTAGATTGGTTCCAACCCAAACTTGTTCCATTAACACCTGTTTTCTTATCTTTTATCAACGAACTGGATATTGGTTTAATCTGGTCCAATCCAATATAAACCCATTATGGATGGATCAGGTCTAATCCAATCAAATAAATACTTTGGACTAGACTGGTCAAATTCAACGTTCTATTGATTTGTCCAATCAGTCCAAATTCATTTTGATTTGGATGGGTCCAATCCAAAACCAGTCCATTAACACCCCTACCATCAATTGGTAAACATCATAATTTTGTACTCATTCATAAAAGTTAAATCAGAATCTATATATATATATATTAAAATGGAATGTGCCAAGTTAGCATATAGTTTCTTCTCAAAAGCACTTATCTTTTTTTTTTTTTGAATTTTTATAATTTTAAAATTGAAGAAAATAATTCAAATGGCCAATCACCTTGAAGACTTTTAATTCTCCTCATTTACTCTATTAACTCTATATCCTCTGTCCCATTAATTCTTTTAATTATCTCTCTTCATTAATTATGCCATTAACTCCATCTTTCAATAACTCACACACACACACACAAGTAAAAGAATGGGAAAGAGGATATAGATTAGATACATTTATATTAAATTGTAATTATTAATAAAGATTAATTATGTTGAAAGGAAGATATTCAATGTTTTATTAATTTTTAGGCTAAATAATTTACTCCCATTATTAATTTTTAAGTTAATTAATCAAATAATTTGCATTTCAGAATAAATATTATTTACTCCACCCAAAAAATAAAATCTATGTTTTAAAAACTAACTTGGCCGTTGAATAGTTTTTGCCTCTAGGTCATAGTTCAATGGTTCAACTATCTAGGTTTGAATCAAACTGTGAGTCTATGACACAACATCCATTATGTAGAATAGAATGTCTATTTGTTTTTAATTTTTTTATAAATATTAGAGCTGAAAATTGAAAGTTGAGGCCAACATTTAGTTTTTTTTTTCTTTTTTTTTTGTTTAGCGAGACTGCAAAGATTGTGAAAAATTATCTAAAATAAAGAAATAAGATCGTCCACAATAAGACAATCGAGCATAAAGTTAAATCCTCCAAAAGTTTTCAATGCATTGTATATTGTAACTTGTGGCTCAATGATTGGGTCAATGGTCTATTGCTTAGGTCAAACATAACAGGTTTAGGAAACCCAAAATTAGAAATAGGGTCACGTGATGGTTTGAATGGTTCATTGTCCGAGTCAACGACAACTTGAAAACAATGAATAAAACATCATAAAATTATAATCCATTTATATTCCACTAGAAAATAATAAAAAATAATTAATCATAGTATTAATATAATAAAATAATTTAATCAATAGAATTAAATAAGACAAATTAAAAACTAATATCAATTTATATTAGTTTTATAATTATTTTATTTTAATTCAAAACCAACTTAAGTTCCACTAAAAAATAAAAACTTAATATAGTTAATTAAATTTAATAAGGATTAATAAAAGTTATTAATTTTAAATGTAGTTTAATTAATTTAAAATCAATTTAAATTCCATTTAAAAATAGGAAAAATTATAAAAACCTCATTGGGTTTTCTGACAATCCTATGAAGCTCCTTTGTGTTTTGACCTTAACAAAAACCTCCCCTAGTGTTTTGAAAAAAAAAGGCTTAAATACCTTCTTTTCGTTAGTATTTCAAATAAAATGTTGATGTAATACATTTTTTTTAAATACTAAATTTACCCTTAGCCAACTTAGTTCACATGTAAATTTACTTCACTTCAACCTTTTACCTTCCCTCATCCAGGTAGGGAGAAATACTTTTTGAAAGTTGTTGGGCAAAATAAATTAGTGGAGGATAAAGTAAAAACTTTAAATTATGTACGGCAATGCTTTAACAATGATAAGGGTATTTTGGTAACTTCAATGTTTTTGTTACAGAAAAGCCAAGAGAAATGAAGTAATTGCAATTTCTTTTTGGCTGTGTTTGGTTGCAATTTAAATTAATTTGCACAGATGCAAAACCATGGCAGTGCAAATGATTTTAGTGTAAATTTTTAGCTATTTTTGTTTCAAATTTTAGTTTTATTTTGTTTGATTGCAGTACCAATGAAGTAAATTAAGACATGAAGCAGAATAAGTAAAATCCAAAACATAATTAAACAAGAATTTTCATTTTTTACATTTGCACTCCCATGCATTTGTACTAGTGCAAATAAATTTGCACTGCAACCAAACACAACCTTTAAAACTATAGGAGAGGCCTTTGTTAGGGTCAAAACACAAAGGTGGTTTATAGAATTGTTAATAAAAAGGTAGCATTAGGATACAAAATATAATACAAATTTATCTAGAGAATAGGAAACTGACCACTATCACTAAAGTGCAACTTAAATTATGACAGGATAAATTAGACATAACCCAAAAAATAATATTTGAATTGGACTTAGATGGGCATTGCTTAATTGGAAATGTCATAGAGTTATGTTCTCAATTTTGCTTATAAACAAAACCCGTGCATCACACGGGTCCCTCACTAGTATTGGAATTCTATCGTATAATGTTAGTGTTTGCAAGTACTGGTTGTCAACACATTTTAATCTTCAAAACTAACCATTAAGGTTATGTTTGGTTTGAAGGAAAAAGTAGGGAAACCTATACAAGGTTTGTAAAGGTTTTCTTATCTTTCTCTTCCTAACGTTACTTTTTCCTTCAAACCAAACACAACATAAGGGAGTGTTCGATAACATGGTTGGTTTTACTGATGTGGCAACAAAACCAACCATGTTGTAAAACACCCCTTAAGTTAGGACATTTAACATGGGCAAAAAGTTCTCTTTTTCTAAAAAGTACAAAAGTGAATAAATTAAGCCAACCCATTCTCAAGTTGGGTTATTGCGTGAATAAAAAAAGAGTTCAACTATGATGCCATAAAAACATGATATTGGAAAAACTTATAACCAATCAATCGGCATCATAAAAATAGGAACCAGCCAATTAGATTTTCACCAAAATTCACGACGGTTATGATTGGTTAGAGTCTTAACCTCAAGTTAGGTTAGAGTTAAGGTTGTGACTTGGGAGTTAACAAATTTGGGTTGGGTTAAGGTTGACCTCAATCTAACATAAGCCAACCCAACTTGTATGTAGGTTAAGGGGTTAAGCCAACCCAACATTGTTTCGTCCTAAGCCTACATTACTTGCCCCAGCCTAGGCCCAGGATGTGGGCTGCTCTGGGCCCAACAGCCTAAAATGCTCTTACTGTCCCGTGGAAATTCTCTCATGATCTTGCACCCTGATTTTATTCCTTGGATGAAGAAGAAAGGGTTAAAGTTTTCACTTCAATGTTTTTTCTCTAGTCCTCTCTCCTCTCTGTTGAATTGGGCAGTCAAATCTATTTTTTCACCTATTTTATTTTACATTTATAAAACAAGAAATGAGGCACAATGGAAGGGGAAATTAGGACTGTAAATGAATCAGATTCGGATGGGATCCAGCTACATGATGCAATTATTATTCAGGTTTCAGATCAGATTCAGATTTAATCCACAACCATTTTATTGCATTTAAAATGATCAAAAATAAAAAAAATAATTATTTTTATGCCAGTAGGGATCACTAGATCGCACATCATCAATTGGCACCGCCTGTGGGAATATGCTACACAAAAGCTAAGTTCTCAACTGTTCTCTGAGCCTCAAGTGATGGAATCCTTAAACAACAATAGCAGTGCCTGAATTGAAGGAACCCTCGTAGGAGGGCAGAATCAGAATGATCAGCTCGGATAGAATCTTCCAACCTTGACTGTGAGGCCACCCTCGTGGGTCGATCTCTCCGTGCTCCCTGCAAGAGTTGATGGCCAACAGATTGTGAGGCCGTCCTCATAGGTCGAGGCCTCCATGGTTCCCATGGAAGTTGACGGACAACAAACTGTGGAGCCGCCCTCGCAGGTTGAGCCCTCTATGGTTCCTGTGGGTGTTGACGACCAACAAACTATGGAGCCACCCTCATAGGTTAGCCCTGTATGGTTCCCATGGGAGTTGATGACCAACAGACTATGGAGCCGCCCCCGCAGGTTGAGCCATCCATGGTTCCCATGGGTGTTGATAGCCAATAGATTGTGGAGTCGCTCCCGTAGGTTAGCCCTATATGGTTTTCGTGGGAATTGACGACTAACAAACTATGGAGCCGCCCTTGCAAGTCAGCCCTGCTGAGGTGATGAGGTGTGTGTAGGGTGAGGTGCTAAGAGCAAGTTGGCTTGTTAATATTTCAGCAAGGTCAGGTCGGCGTAAGAAGCTACCTGATTCTGCCAACTTGACTGAAACCAACTTTAGTGACTTGGATGAGCCAAATCGCAATACAAGCACTTCAATGAAAATCTACGAATGGGAAGCCAAACCACATTTAGCATTAAGGCTCCTTTAAGCCGACCTATTTGAAACACGACAACAACAGATGACCGACCTGTGCTAAGCGCACGTCGGCTCGCTCAAACATGCAACATCATCCTTGTCCTTGTCAACAACACCCTCATTGGCATCATTCTCGTTGCCCTCTCCGTTATCCTCCACTTTGGTTTTGGGCTTCACATCGACCTTGTCGGCCACCCATTCAAGGACCGACTTGAGGGACATTGCATAGAAGTTTGTGAGTGGAGCGACTTAAGGAAGCATGGCACAGTTTAAATCCCTTCTTGAGGGAGTGCATGACAAACTTTGCTTTTGAGGTACTTGGGCGAATGACGGAACTCCTCGATGACTACATCACAGCTCGGTAGATGTCCTCGGAGTGCTCGTTGTGCCTCTCCTCATATTGATGAGTTCGCTCCTGCACTCGGTGGTCAAGATGGCGATGTTCTGCCTAGTGTCGCATTTAGCCCTTAGACTCTTCTAGCTCAAGCGAGCAAATTGGGTTGGCACAAAAAAAAGAGAAAAAAAACAACTAAACTATCACTTCGGGCCTAAGACGTGTAGCGAACTATTCCCTTCTCCGAGTTGACCTCAACTCAGGAGTGGCGGGCAATTGATGAGGGCAGATTTAGCCCTCTAGTGATAGCGCGCCATGTGGTGATCCCAGAATTGTCGCATGACACCTCAGCACCACGAAGGTGATGACTTGCCTTAGACAAAATGATGAAGATATACTTGGAACCACGTTGGATGTGCCTCACATGCCTTGAGGGTGCTTCATCACTGCCTCATCAGGATCGGGACGACCACCTTAGGATCAATCTTGAAACCTTGGCACGAAGGTAGACCTCCCGCCAAGGTCTCACTGACCAGACTGATGTCCACGTAGCAACCTACATGACATGGTGGTCAACCTACCTACACCTCCCCTAACCTGACGGAGACCCAACTGACGACCTACCTCTGCCAACTTGATGGAGACTCAGCTGGCGACCTACCTCCGCCGACCTAATGGCGTAAGATCTCGACAAGACTAGGCCAATAGAAGAGGCAACCTACCATCGCCGACCTAACGAAGACTCAGGTGGCGGCCTCATCACGACCGAGCTAGGAACCTTGGCACTAGGGGCGATCTCCCCTGAGACCCTGCCAACCTAATTGGGACCTAGTTGGCGAACTGCCTGATGCATCGGACGACCTCCTCCTTAAGCGGGTTGTCATCTCTGACTTCCCCAAGATCACGATGCCATATCGAAAGAGTCGGTTATCACCCCGCATGCTTCGGGTGCGACTGGATAAGCACTACTCGCTTGCGCGAAGTCCACTTCCAGGCGTGAAACCACCTCCGAACTAGACAGGTCGGAGATCTCGGACGCGTTTCTTGAGCCTCATGGCAGCTTGCCTATATAAAGGTGTCCCCTTCCTCATAAAAGGTATGCGCGATTTAGCTCTCACAATTCACTAGAACTCTCTTAAAACTTTTCATTGACTTAAGCATTGGAGTGTCCACCCTAGGTCAAGCAACCCAGACTCTTTGATCTCTCCTTTTATAGCTCAGCTAGGCGACTTATTGAATCCAACGTCCGAATTGTCTGCCAGCTGGGAACACCAGATCGCGCATCATCAAGGGGCATAACAAGAATGAGCATTTGTCTTTTAATGTGGTCTAAAAAACGTCTAAACGCGTTAAGTCATTAGCCCGCCTCTTACAAATTCAGATCTGAAAATACATTCAGATCATTTTTTCATACTTAACCCAAACATAAGTGGTATCTGAAAAGCAACATTTTTGAAATTCAAAGGTCATAAATCAAACACCACCTTAATCTACTATGGTCTGTAGAGCTGTCAAATGAAAGATTTTAGATGTAAAAATGCAGAAAGTTTTATCCATTTTAGGCTTATGTCATCTTTTTAAAACATAAGTCTTTCTAGATTCCTGTCTTTCATTGTCAAAGGACCAAATTTTTGTTTATTGTACTTTGAAGAGCCCAAAAAAGCCACACAAAACTTCCCAAACGCTACCAAACTATATTATAAATATATTTAAGCAATTGCCAAAAAGAACGGGGGGCGTTATGGCCTTATCTAATGTTGGTCCCCGTTATCTGGTCTCTTTGGCAGAAGGACGAAGTTGATACAGACCTATCCTCTGGCCTCTGCCATTTTTTTTTTCAGAAATAGGTCACTCACTTTCAGATATTTGAGTCCACATTCTCACACTCATCTTTTTTTTTTGGTAAACAATTCTGACACTTATTAGTCCAGAATTTTTACCATTGCAAAAATCTTCTACTCCTTCAGTTAATAAATCTGATGAAAACAATCAATACAAAATTCAATTTGATTAGAGATGGCTGAACATAAATCCACCCAGATAATTTTGGTGAAAGCATTAGAGGTGGGTCCCCATCTGGCTTCTGTAAAATTTGCTCTTCACCAAAGTTTTAAATGCTCTCATGATTGGACTGACTCTCTCTCTCTCTTCTTGCCCTACTGATCTCCCATGAGACACTGAGAGGATCTCAAGTTCTCAAGTGGGGAGGCTGCCAGCTAGCACTGATCAAGTCAGTGGGAGTTGTTCAATGTTCAGTCCAGTCCTCTTCGTCTTCAACACCTCTCTATCAGGTCATTTTAGTAAATTCCAAATACCTCTCTATCAGGTCCAGAGTACGGTGAGCAGTGAGCTTCCCTCAAAGGCTGAGGGCCTGAGGGATTCAGTGCCTCAGTGGGGAATACTGGCTCAAAGTCTTCCTGGCATTTAAAAATGTTTGAGTTTATTAAAAAGTTTTTTCACTTGATAAAATTACAGAACTACCCTTTATCTCAAAACATCACACACGCAGAGAAGAGATTTCTTACAATATGGCACATTTGAGATTTCATGTGAGAAGGAGATTTAACAGTTAACATAGCCTTGGTAAGGCTCTATTGTGTGCAGGGGTGGTCATGCCTTTATCCTTCACCAACTTTGTCACCTGGCCTCTCATCTGTCTGCAGACCTTTTCCAACTCAACCACTCTGAATTGCATCCTCTGTAAGTTCATTCTCGTCTCTTGCTTGTCTTCTGAGAGCCCCAGAAACTTTTCAGCATCGGGTTCATTGTAAGAAACCAACTGTGTTTCACTTGGGCTAGGGCTCTCAGGAACAGCAGGATCATTGCTCAGTAGCTTGGATTGTTGAGAGGCGAGAGCTTGGACGGCAATCCTTGGAGGAATTCGAGGGTTCTTGGCGAGGTCTTTACAGGCTTCCAGTGTGAGCTTCTCGTACTTGAGACATCTACACAGCCTTGATCTTTCCTCGAAAGAGAGTGTAGGATGTGACTACACAAATTATCCATTATATTATCAGTATTTAATTCACTTCCGTCATAAATTTCATCTCATTGGGAGAGAGGGAGAGATTACAGATAATACATAATAGTTTTTCTCAAGTTTTGGGCCCTTGGGCTGAAGATAAGACTTTGGCTGCATTTGGCATTAAATAAGGATTTATCTCTGACTTAAAAACTCAGTATTCATAGTAGCACTTTTATACCAAATGCAGCCAAATTAGAAATAAAATGTAGGAAAGGGGAAAGGGATGATTTTTTTTTTTTTCTTTTGGGGAGAAAGCCAGAAAGAGGTATTAGTTTTTTTTTTGGGTAAATTCTCGATTAATACCCTGTACTTTGGATTTGGTGCCACTTTGGTCCTCAAACTTTAAAACGTGGCAATTCAATATTGGAACTTTCAAAATGTGTCAATCTAATAATACCTGTTGTTAACCAATCTGTTAACCAGCCGTTAAGTGACATTTGAAAAGATACAAATGCTCTTTGAGTGTCATCTAATTTTCTTTATCAACCATCAACATATTGATAAAAATAAACAATCTCAAACCCTTACCTCTTCTATTCAAGAAAGTTAGGATTGCATCTCAATGGACATTTTGGTGATTTCAACTTTCTTGAAAAGAAGAGGCAAGGATTTTGGATTGTTCATTTTTTGTCAATGTTTGAATAGTTGATAAAAAGAATTAAGTTACACTCAAAGGGTATTCGTGTCTTTTTAAATGGCACTTAATAGCTGGTAAACGGGCTGGTTAATGAAAGGTACTAGATTGACACTTTTTAAAAATTGGAATATTAAATTATCGCATTTTAAAATTCAGGGATAAAAATGTTACTAGACCCTAAGTATAGGTACTAATCTAGAATTTCCCCCTTTTTTTGGGTCTAAGAGAATGAGCGATTTGGGTATATAGAATTTGCTATATAGAATCATCAAAGTAAAGGAATATAACCCCACCTATGCTACAATACCCCACATTCCCCACCTTTCCAATGGTACAAATTCATAAAAATTTGTTAGGTGAAATAAATTACACGTGTCATTATTTTCAATTGTACAAATTCAATAAAAAAAATTATGAAGTGGAGGAATCAATAAAAACCTCTAAGTAAAACAAATATCAATATCAACTATAGAATTAAAGAAAGAAATTCAGAACCTTCATTCAAGAACTACAGATGGGTATGAAACCATGTCCAAAAGTCATTCTCACACAAAATTTACTAATTTGGAAACAAAAAAAAGAGGGAGAAATCATATTATATAAATTACAATGTTTTTATTTATTATTATTATTTTGAAAAACAAAAGAACTTCCTAGAGAGAGAGAGAAGTGGATTTACTATGTGCCTTAAAAAATTACATTCAATTTACAATCTGGGAAATGAGGGGAAAGAGAATGAAAAGGAAATGATGGGTTGGTGATATTTACCTCGAGATAGATGTCAATAGCTCTGTAGACTCCATTAAAGCAGTCTCTAGCTGAGTCAGGTAAGCTCTCTGCAACTGCAAGAAACTTAGAGATTTTGAGGTTCTGATCAGGAGAAATCTCTCTCATGTATTTATCAATCAACCTCACAACTTTTTTCATCTTCTGCACTGTCAGCCCATCATCATTAACAAACACCCTAACCAATCTCAAGACTAGATTCACATCATAAACACCACCACCTTCATGACCAGAGATGAGTAAATCATCCAACGTTGCCTGGTCAAGCATTCCACCAATCAATCTCTCCAACCGAACTCTGTATTCTCTGCTCAGACCCAAACCAGAAACCACTCTCAATACCCAAAACAGCCCTCTGCAAGAGAAAGCGGTTTTGCCCATCAAAATCACCCCATAAACAGCTGTGTCTGCAAGTGCACCATATTCAAACTTGGACCCAATTCCACCTTTCCTTTGGACAGCGGTATTGAGGTAGTGGAGTAGGAACTTGGTGAGGATTAAGCTGTTGTTATCCGTTCCATAAGCGCCCATTGTCTTGATGACCTTTTCAATGATCTTGGGGGGTAAAATGGTCAAATCATCAAACCACCAGGCCTTGCTTGAAGTTGAAGAAGAACATGGTTTCACTGTTTCTGGTGCGGTCTTAGTGGATGAAGATAATCTAAACCCAGAGGTTGTTTCAGGGGATGATGAAGAAGAGGATGACAAAGCATTGGGGATTGTATCTGAATTTTGAGCAATCTTTGCTAGAAGTGAAGAGATGAGCTTTTGAAGAAGACCGGACGAATCTGCAGATAAGAAGAACGACTCACAGCTCTTTAGAGAGACCAATGTGTCATTCCACGACCAGTCGAATATCCCTTCAAGAAAGTTTTCCGTCTGTTGCAGAAGATTGAAGCTTGAGACCTTTTCTGTCATTTCAAGGAATATGGCAGAGCAATGGAGGAGAGAAACATTTGATGGGGTTACTAGGATTCTGCCATTGTTGTAGCAGAACCTTGAAATCAGCTCAAACCCATCTGGGCCTCCAGGGAAATCAATAACTTCAATTGCTGAGCTTCTGATCTGGGTTTTTCTCTTTTCTTGCTTTACTATCTTCTTCAATCTTCCTGAGAATATCGAGATAATTCTCTGCAAATATGAAGAAGAGAAACATTTAAAGTTACCATACAAGGAAAACAAACAGAGATTAAAGGACACGATTACTGGTGGAAGTTCATATTACCTCGTTTAGAAAGAAAGTGTGTTGCCCATTAACATTGATTTTCAGATCACAGAGCTCATGCATTTCTGATTCAAATTCAAAAAAACCAGAAAATCACAAGATGAGAGAATGAGAGAGAGAGAGAGAGAGAGATGGCAAAGGACGAGACAAGAAAATTATTCTCTGCTCTCTAAATTTAGGAGAGAAAACTATACTATGCTCTCTAAAATTAAGAGAGAACACGATGTTCCTAAGCAGCATTATGGCCAATGTACTTTACTCCGCAGAGCCTACAACTGTCCATCTGAGTGGGAATCGGATTTGGTACTAACAAAATGTCCTCACACTGTCCTAACAGCCCCTAACAGCCGTGCATTGGGAACCAAATCCAATAAAAAAAAACACATAACGGGTAAGATGTTATCCATGCAGGATTGCCAAAGGCTGTGAGGATGGTTACGTAAGAACCAAATCCTAATTCAAACATTTATCAATCCAATCTCCATGCACTTCGTCGATAAATAGTCTCATATCTTCTTCATCGTTGTATGGTCTTAGCCCTACAAATTAGTTGGTACCACTCAGACACTCCAAGAAATTTTAGGTGGCGTTTGGTTAAAGGATATGTGCTTTCAAGCTTAAAAGGTACAAAACCCCAACTTTAAGCTTTGTGTTTGGTGGAATGTTGGTCCTAAAGAGATCAGCTTCCATCAGGGCAAACCTGTGCCCACACCGTTCTAACAGTCTTTTAATTTGATACCTATCATTGGGAATATCTTTCTATGAAATAAAGCATATAAGTACGGAGATATTCTCAATGCAAGGCAGTAAAGGTTGCTCGAACAGGCTTTGCCCTGACTGAAGCCGATTCTGGTCCTCCTTTCAAGCTTGAATTCACATTCCTATTCTTGCCGCCCAAGATTTTACCATTACACCATTCCTTTTTTTTTTGGCAAAGAAATCTAGGAAAAGAACATATATATATATAATATAAACTGTGACTTGGTAATCGGGTCGAACGGGTCATTGATTCAGCCGTCCATGTTGGATAGGTTTTGATCAAGTCAATGATTTTTATCAATTTTAGGGCTTTAGTCAATGACCTTAGCAATAACTCTCCTAATCTTTATGTATGAGATTTCTTGAATATCATGTTTCTTGGCATACTATGTAGGAACAAAACTAAGTAAATCCATTAACTTGAATTTAAATATTTAATGCCATTATTCTTGATTGTTTTCTTCCATGTAAGCTGAGTTAAATCCAACACCTTTGCATCATCGTAGAATTAGGGTTTTGATTGATTCACAAATGGAAGATGGCAATTTTTCCCAACAGGCAACTATATTTGATATATAGGCAGCCTATTGCGTGCAAGCTTTGATTAGGAATAGTTTTCTCAGCTTGATTTATTTTTGGCCTTCAAATATGCCAAAGATAAATCGCACAATGTATAAAACCAAAATTCATACAGCTAATGCTCCGTCAAGGGGTGCAAATGGATCGGTGGTTATGTAACCAATCCTGTGCTCAGCTTGATTTATGGTTGGTTATGTAATCAATCATAAGTGAATATGTTAATGCTTCGTTTATGGGTGCAAATGGATTGGATCATGATCTGATTCGATTTTATTTGATCGAATTCAGATAATCTTTGATCGGATCTTTGGATTGGATTGGATAATAGGATTTCATAAAAAAAAATGGATCGGATTCGGATCACCTCTATCCGATCCGATCTGATGTATATTATATATTTATAAATATAAACATATATAATACATATATGTTATTTATTTATTTATAAATATATTTTTTATAAATTTGTTATATTATTTATTTTTTTATAAAAAAATATGTATATATGATGAAAATAATTAAAAATTACATGTATTTTTGTTTTTACTTTATTTAAATTAGTATATTTTATTTTTCTTTTAATAATTTGTTAAAATTTAAAGAATACAAGTTGGATCAGATCAGATCCGACTTACCGATAGGATTGGAATTCAAATCGAGTCCTATCATATCCAATCGAATTTTTGGATTGGATCGGATCCAACATGAATAGTGTCGGATCGGATTTGAATATACCTTGATTCGAATCCCATCCGATCTGTTTGCACCCCTAACTCCATCCACAATGTTCTTTTTTTCTCTTTTTTTAATTTTAATATACAATATTTTAACTATAATAGTGGAGAGAGATTCAGGTATCATGTCTTTCCGGTAGCATAGATTTTTCCACAAAAATGATAGAATTAAAGCTCAAAATAGTTCGTTAAACTAAGATTGGACTAGATGGTTGGACCATCAAAACCAGGGAATGGCAGTGAGAATGGTTTTTTAGGCTTCCTCATCATGAAATATTGACTTGGTCAAATCTATCTCAAATACATGTATATTAACATATAGGGATACTTACTTAGGGTCCGTTTGATTCACAGTCGGAATTGGAATCAGAATCGAAATCGAAATCCTTTGGAATCGGAATCAGAATGGTCTATTTCCATGGTCTATTTGGTTCAGACAGAAATAAGAATGAGAATTAGAAGCAGCAAGAATGAGATTTCATTCCCAAGAGAGGGGTAGGGAATGGCCATTCCCTCAAATGGGGGAATGCCATTCCAGCAGGAATGGGAATGAGATTTTGATTCTGCTCAACCAAACAGTTGGAATTGGAATAGCCCATTCGGATTCCGATTCCAGACCCCTATTCCTGCGAACCAAACGGCTTATATATGCCTTGTTTACCATTCAACAATAACAAATGGTGAACAGTAAAGTTGATGTTCATCATCTTCACAAAGAATGGGAGAGTGTTGCAAGACTTTCGTCTCTGTTAGTATTGAAACTTTGATTGTATTTCACTCTCATATACTGACTGCGAAAACTTTGATCATATTTTATAGTTATATTTCAGAGATAAGATTAGCTGAATGCAGTAACTGTTCAGTAGGCTGTGGAACCAATCATAATGCTCCACACCTAAGGCTGTCAATAGGTTGTGTCTGAGTCTGGATAGGGCGGTTCCAGTTCTGAACCAATTATTAATTGGGACAAAATAACAGACCCAAAACTATCCCAATTAATAGGTGGGTCTATTGGGTCCAGACTTGATTATATTGAAAATTATATTTTTTTATTCAAATAATAACCTAAAATTTAAAATTTGATAATATAACCTTAAAAATGACAAAAATATAGTAAATTATTTATATCTTAATAAATTATACATTTTTAAATAATATCATCATATATATTATCTACCAAATTTACCATTTCAAACATAAAATATGATAAAAGTTATAAGAAAATTAAGAAAATCTTATCTTATATGTATTTAAATAGGTCAGGACAAGTAAAAACCGGAACTGACCCAATTATTAATCAAGACAAAATTTTGGAGCCAGAACCATTATAATCGGTTCGGTTGGTTTGGATCTATTAGATAGACCTGACCCATTGACAGCCCTATCCACACCAGTCATAAAATACATGATACCCATAACTAAGAACCTCTCATTGTGGGGCCCATATAGTTTATCACTAGTGTGGGAATTATCATTGGTTTCACAGCTTGCTGCATAGCTAAAATGTTCAGCTAATCCGCATTCCAAATTTTCCAAATTTAACTTTGCATTGATACCCTAAGAAGACTAGAAGAGAAGATGCCAAGAATTGCATGGAGAAGACTTCCATCTCTATACCGTCTTTGTACTGGCATTCCAATTAGACTGCATGGGCCATTCTTGCTAGGAACCTAATGAATGGATGAAATGAAGGGTTAAATGACTCTTATGTTCATATCCGTCACCATTATATCTATATATATATAGAGAGAGAGATAAAGGCATAACAATCAACAGTTGTCTCAAAGACCACCGGATGCCATTTCAAGAAATTTCAAACTCACTTTTTTCTTTCCACCCTGAGTTCCAACCCTAATCACAGTTGAACAAAGATTCAAAGAAAAATAGAACCCCAAAACGAGATAGCAAGAGCTGGAGTTGTAGATACCATAAAAAGAGATGCATCTAAGAGTCTTAAGAGTTTCTTTTTTTTTCTTTGGATTTTCATATGCTGTGTTGAAATTCTTGTTCTGGCTGTTTTCCACAACTCCATATATTCAGTTAGGCCCGTTCGCTTTTCGGTAAATTACTTATTTGGGTAAGTAAGTGCATTTACCCATGTTCTTTTATTTCCTAGGTAAATAAGGCAATGATCATTTTAGCCATAAAAATTCATTATTAAAAGGGGTATTTTTGTCCCATTCAAGTGTTAGTGACTTTCCTCCCAAGTGAAAAAGTTATTTATCCACCTAAGTGATACCTAGGAAAATAAGCATGTTATTATTGGTTCCACAGCCTTCTGAACAGCTATAATTTTTGAAATTATAGGGTATATCAATTGTTTGTAAGATAAGGTATACTTAAAACGTGATATAGAACTATATGCTATTTTCATAATTTTCCTTTTTTTGAATTCATTTTAAGCGAGTCAAACCAGATGGTTGGACCATCCCACCCGTGACCCACTCACCAAATTAAAATAGTTCTGTGCAAAAAAGATCATTCAACACATGTATTTGGAGAGATCAATAAAATCTACCATATTAAGCTCTATGTGGATGAGCATTTTGCTTTTGAGCTTTGGGCTGTGAAAAGTAATAGTCAAAAAGTGTTTTGAGTGTTTGGGAAGAATTGCTTTCAAAAACATTATAATGATATAATCTGAACCCAAAACACTTTTAAGCCCTAAAGCACAAGGCCTGCAATTGGGGTTTTGGAGCTTTATGCTGCTGGGTTTTCAAAGCAAAAATCCTAAGCTTATCCAAAAACAACCTTTGTAAGTTTAATTAAAGCTTTGCTGCATGCCTACATTTTGTCTTTGGATGTAATTATTCTCTGCACTAATGAAACTTTTATTTATTTTTAACACACGCAAGAGCTTATTAACAGGGGTCTTCTGCAGAAGCTGCTTATTACCATATCCACAATACACAAACGTCTTTCCAATATGAGTAATTAGACAATATTGCAGGAAGGCTCTTTGCAAGTTTGCATTGAAATCTCTGAATGCCTAAGCCCAAGTGGTGATGAAATATTGAAATCCTTGTGCTCGTAAAACTTGGAGAAATTTTATTTTATGTTACCATTGCAAAATGGTGCATCCGAGAAATTAAGTTTGATGAAAAGCCATCGCAGAGTAGCGTTACCCATTTTAAACCACACTGTTAGCACAACTTAAGCATGTCAATGCTCATATTCACGCTTCTTTCTAAGCAGGAATGCATTAAGTCAGTACTAATGGCTGCATTTATTTGCTCTGCAAGTGAAATTTGCACCAAGTAGATGCGTGGGCCTGTAAGTGAAAATTCTGGTTTACTTCATATTTGACCGTCTTGTTTCTTTTTGGTTTTTTGAGAAGGAAATAGGAAGTAAAATAATGTGATCCCACAGTATGATTAAGGTATGAAAGAGGTAATGCAAATTATACATCAGCTTATCAGATGCAAAATTTGTATTCCCAACAAATTGAAATGAGACAAAGTGCAAATTTTGCATCAGGTAAGAATAAAAACCATGGTGACAAACGAATGGATGCAAAACTGAACCAGATACAAAATCTGATTGACAGGTAAGCCAGGCTCTCCGACTTTTCACCAAACATAGCTTAAAGGCTGTCCGTGTAGGCTCCACGTCCACCTCAAAGCAGAAGCCACTGCACTTCAGCCCTCCCAAACGTAGACAACAAATAGAAGGGCTGATCGCAGACTATCAATTTAGGTTCGTTCATGGTCTAAGGAATGGATACAAAGTTTCAGGATGCAGGTCTTCAAGCACCCACCTCATAGTCTAAACTCTAAACTGATCCACATTACAGATCCTTTACTTGACTTAAAGGCGTCCTATCCTAAGACTAAGACAAATTTGTTTGAACAAACTTCAGAACCATTAACACATTTTCTGTAGCGCTAATTTACACAAAGAATCAGGGCCCATCGCTACATGATTCATAAATCCTCCCTATAGCATACAGTTCGACAAAATAAATAAGGCAACAAAAACAAGGCAAAAGACACTTCCCCTACATTCTTCATTACTTGGACACACATTTGCACTGGCTTCTAAAAGAAAAATAAGAAAATGCACCCTCCCCCCCCCTCAAAAAAAAAAATAAATAAATAAAAGGTAGTACAAGATTTATACCTTAAGTGGGCAATTAAATCATTTCCATGGGCTCGTGTATAAATTTCCAATGTGACTGTTCTACCAAGCAGACTTTAGTGAAGCAATCAGTTCACTGCATTTGTTGCTTGTACAGATAACAGGAAATCAACTGAAAAAGACAACACCTAAATGGTGCTATTCCTTCAGTGCTACAGGTTTCTGCTCAGTGACCCCAGAGTTCATGTTCAGAATATCTGGTGAGATCTCCCAGCTCCCACTCCTCCTACCCCAACTGGAGTGACGTGTTTCTGGTCGAGCAACTGGCGCTTGTGGGTCTGAACCCAGAACAAAGTCAGCCCCTGTGGGCTCGTGGTGTTGACCATTGCTACCTCTGCTGCGTACATCTTCAGCAACTTCCTCAAAGTTATGACGCTGGGAGATCTTCAACAGATCTCCACCAATTTCAAGATCATCTTCTACTTTTGCACGTCGGACTCCACCTGATTCATCTACTTCTGATTCTTGGGTGCGAATAGTGGGAGGCCTAGGTACCTCATCTTGTACAAAAGCACGGAATTTGTTCCTTGAAGGTTTTGTCTTTGTGAAGAACACCTCCAAGAAGTTGTTTAGACAACCTTGGTTATAGACATTAGGCCGGTTGTCAGCTCTGTAACGAAAATTCTCATATGTAGTCTGCACAAATTACACAAGTCTTGAGAAAGAAAGACTGAAGTGGTTGATCAATTCAGATCATAGTGTATAAAAAGCAAAGCAGCAACCACAAGAAATAACTCAAGCACTTTCATCTCTTAAACAGGTTAATCTGCAAAATAATTGGGCTTTCTGGTGGCAGCAACAACTTTTCCAGGTATGCACATGTACAGGCAATGGACCAAGATTTGTAATTCACAGAAACATGAGAGGATTCTTTCTTTTCAAACCATGTTCATAGCACTAAAAATGGTTCTTTGTATTGAAATCTAAACTTTTCCCAATGAATTGTGGCAGATTTGTAAATTTGGTTATTCATGTTCATGCAAGATAAGAATTCCCAGATATTTTAGAGTATTGTTGTTGGTATATCATTACACTGGCAACATAAGCCATAACAAATATTGACAACTTGGCTGAACTCATGTTTGATGTTTATTTCTGACTCAGTTTTCAAGGTGCCATGGCGAGGCTAGGTAACAGGGGTGCACAGCAACCACCAACCATCTTTCACTAGTAATTATATATAATCTTCATTAAAAAAGGTATAAACTTCATATTAAAATATAGAAAATCAACATATTCATGAGAAGAAAAATAAGAAAAAAAAAAGAAAATTCCGAAACTACTGTTTCTGCCCTAGGAAATGAAGAAGAAGAAGAAGAAGAAGAAGAAGAAGAAGGATGTGTTGATTAAACAAAACTTTAAGTTCTTACTCGCTTATTGGTCCAGGTTTTGAAGTCTTTGAGGGTTTAAGACAACATATACCAACATGTCTGTTGATTGAACCCTAACAAACAAGAAATAATAGAAAGAATAATTGAGTTTAATAATATGTATTTTTATTATAATCTCAAAAAAGAGATTATATAAAAAATCCATAGTGCCATGTACAAAATAGCAAGGCACTTTAGTGAGGTAACCCTCCATGCATGCCTTGTCGCCAAGGCATCACCTTGACAAATATGTCCTGACTGTAGGTAAATCCTAGCTAAATGCTTCTAGTGAATCACTTGATCAGTTGCTCCTGCTAGAACAGAAATAAGGTCTTGTTGGGCAAAGTGTTTCTTTATCTAGAAATCACTTTTGGAAAATGTGCTGATTGGGCACATAAACATAATCCATATGTCTACAAAATACATAATTTTACTTATAAAAAATATATATAATTTTAACATAAGAAAAATAAGAGAAATGCAAAAGGGGAGGGAGAGAGAGAGAGAGAGAGAGAGAACTGAATCAATAAAGTGATGGTCGGATCAAAGACATGTAGGTCATTGCTGTTGGAGGAAGCTTTTGTTTTTTGAAGATAAAAAAGAGAAATTTTATTAATTCCAAAAGACATTTTACAAGTTCAGGAACGAGGGAATTGTCATTGCATTTTTCTCGGATCCAAAAGGGGTTGGGGACCCTCTAAGGGCTGAAATTATGGCAGTTATGAAAGGGGTTCAAAAGGCAAAGGAGTTGAACATTAGGAAGCTGATAATTGAAGGTGACTCATAGCTATTAATAAGCTGGCTCCAGAGAGAAGAGGAGGCTGGATGGTGGTTCTATATTTATGAGAAGAGGAAAGTCATGAAACTGTTACAAGGGATAGATGTGACTTGTAATTGGGTCAGAAGATGTGCAAATGCCTTTGGTGATACAGTTGCTAAACAAACAAGGGGATGGGAAGAAATAGTTTATTCTGGGCTGTGTTGTAATTTTTATTTGAGGAGGGGTTAAGAGATTTGCCCTTCCCCCTTTCTCTTCATCTGCACTATTTTCCTTAATATTGAATGAATCTGCTTTTGTTATTGATAAAAAAAAAGTCACCCTCAAGATAAACAAAAATAAAAACAAAATCCAAACAGAATGACCCTGCACAATCAACATCTACAGAAACCACTCTAGAAGTCACACCCACCCCAACCAAACAAATGCAAAATGGACCAAACCATCCCATGACTCAATAGACCTCATGAATGCATATCCAATTCACAGAGCAAAAAAAATCCTCCCACACCCTTAAAAATCAATAGAACATTAAACCTCCCACACCATTAGCTGTCCTGTGAATCCAATTGAAGGAAGCATTCAGATCCTCTTTCAGACTGTCTATCTCCCTTAAGGCATGTCTGTATACCCTAGGCACACTGTGACTGGAAGTGGTTCAAGAAATAACCACTTTTTAGTCTCACTCAACTTCCAGGTTTCTAAAATTGGGTTGCTTAGCAAATTTTAAGCCTTGTAACAGTGTCGTCACTTCAGCTTTTAAAGAGTCCCCTTCTCCTATGGGGTTCCTGAGTACATAGCCAGCACTTTACTTGAGGAGTCTCTAAATACACCACCAATACCTGCCATCCCCAGGTTTCCCATTGAACTCCCATCAAAATTTAACTTTATCTTATCTCTTGCTGGTGGCTTCCATTCCATCATCATCCTTTCCTTTTGTTTTGAAGAGTGTGCCACATCATCCCAAGCCCTTATTATATCAATTGCTGTAAACCATTGGAAGATGTCCAAGGTTTTTATCCAATGAGCCACTTTAATTTTTATTAATTCCACTAACTCCTCCTTTGACCTGAGCTTCTCATTAAATATTCTTGCATTCCTCTCCTCCCAAATGGACCACATCACAGCAGCTCTAACTGCCTTCCACATTGTTCTTCCTCTTTTTGTTGGCTGCCTGAGGAAATTTGGGCTAAAATGACTTGCTATATCCTGAGGAGTTATCCACTTGCAACCAAAAAGAGAACAAAAAGACTCCCAAATATAAAACATAAAGGGACAGGAGATTAGTAAGTGGGGTGAAGATTCTCTTCCTCTTATAAAGTTTCTTAAATTTATTACAAGGCCCTGCTCAGTGTTTTAAAAGTGCAAGGCACACCCCTTTTCGAAGAAAGGCACAAAAGTGCCCAAAAATTAAAAAAAAAAGTAAAAATAAATAAACATAATATTCATTAAAAATATGAACTTAAATTTATTTTAAATTTTAAAATAAGTTTTAAAAAAACTATTATTTCAAATTAAAGTACATAAATGTAACATGTAAAACATATTCAAAATGAAAGTTTAAAAATAATGTGATGTTATTTAGATGAAAAACATTTTGCATTCCTAATTCTACAATCCACCTTTGTCCCAATCCCCTTGAGGAGCAAAATGTGCAAATTTTTAAAAGGTGCACTTGGCTTGAAGTGCAAGGCGCACCAGGTGTGTGCCTTTTAGGTGCGCCTCAGGCATACCTTTTAAATCACTGGCCCTTCCCCACATAACCATTCTTTCAATCTAGAAAAACAATCTTGGTGACATGCAACTGCCCTGAATTTGTGCCTTTTGTTTTCTTTTTAATTCAAAAGGAGATTACTTTTAACCTTTTCCTCTTTCATCCTTCTGTCCTTATTTTATTCAGGCCTCCTACCCAAATCTGTCCAATTTCCCTCCATCTATTTCAACAAAACCTCCTGTGTCAAAAGAATCCCCACCCTCAATGATATTCTTATTTTTGTCCAGAATCCTTAGTCCTTCCCTTCATTTGTATCACCCTCTAAAAACACACTTTCCTTTTTACAGTTACTGGCATAGCTTCAGCAAATGCATGAACCCCCGACTCCCTGCCAGAAGCACAAAACTGCACCTCTATATTCAAGTCTCCTTCCTTTTCAAGATACCTTATATGTTGTTCTCCAGTCACTCTTGTGTTTTCAAAAACCATCTCTATCAGGCTATTTAGCTCAAACAACTTCGACATATGTTCCCCATCTTTCCCAGAAGAAACAACTCACTGTCATTACCTTGAGAATCCCCAACATACTTCTATCATTTGAAAATTGAATAGAAACTTCCCCAAACATCCCGCTACAATTTGAGTGTTGCTAAATCTGAGAATCTGATTCCAACCCTGGCAAAGATTTGTCTGGGCTCTCACACGATTTAGATGGAGAAATTATTCCATCCTTTGATCCAATCGGTACCTTACAACCAGCCGATGACTTCAAAACATCATCTTAATGAATATAGTTACAATGCATTCCCATTTTACTTAGTTAGCCTAACTAACTTAAATAACATCAATTAATCACTTAATTTACTTGATTAAGTACTTAACCTGCAAATTAGTTGAAAAACTTAGGCCATGTTTGGGAGTGCTTAAAAATAAGTGCTTATTTGGGCTGGGACCACACCATTAAGCACTCATTGGTGTTTGGGAAATAAGCCTGAAATAAGTGCTTATTTTAAAATAAGGGCTTATTTTTTAAGCCCAATTTTCCAGCTTTTTTGAGTGCTTATACAATAAGCACTCGTTCAAAATTTTCTTCCAAAATTATCCCTAGTTGAATTTTAAAATACCACTTACAAAACTATCCCTAGTTGAATTTTATAAAAGTACTTTCACAAAAGTGCTTTTATAAAAGTACTTCCATAAACGTACTTTTATAAAATACTTTCATAAACGTGCTTTTATTAAAGTACTTTCATAAAAGTGCTTGTGTAAAAGTACTTTTACAAAAGTACTAGTGCTTTCATAAAAGTACTATAGAAGTGCTTTCGTAAAATTTGAAAGAAAATGAAGGACAAAATAGTCACGAATGCTTATTTAAGTGCTTATTTTTTAAAATAAGCACTGGAAAAAGTAGGGTATCAAAATACCAAATGCAAATAAGTGCTTATTTGAATAAGCACTTATTTTTAACACAAGCACTCCCAAACATGGCCTTACTCTGCTCAATTAGCTTAAGTTACTTAATTAAGTTAATTGTGTAACTAATTTAATTTATTTATATACTTTATTTACCTAATTTTCTTAATTTGCTGAATAACTGAATTAACTTAGTTAGATTAGTTGGCTTAATTAATTTAACTACATTAGTTTTATCGCGTAATTTATGATTCTTCCATGCTAGTGTTTAGTTTTATACTTTTATTCTTATTGAATGTCGTTCATTTTGCAAATGCCATGTTTAGATTTATATTTTCTGTTATGCTTAGTTGCCAATCAAGATAATACAAACTTATGTACTAATATCATATATAACTAATAATACTTTAATTACTTTGGTTAAGTTAATTCAATTAATTAATTTAATCTGAAGCATCAAACAAAATTTAATTTAGTTTAGTTTACTAATTAGCTTATTAAAATAATAAGGGTGAATTACTTAACCTCCCCTACATTTTGATTCTTATAGAAACCTCCCTTCAAATATTAAATCAATATGCAAAGACACCCCTTAATTAACATAATTTATTTATTACATTATTTTGAAAGACACTATTATAATCTAAAGTGGACTTGGAAGACATTTACATGCAAGACAACCCAACAATTTATTACATTGATTACATTGTTTACATTGTTTTTGTACTACAAATTAATGAGCTTTATGATGTAATTTCTATATTTTTAATATCTTCTGTCATCATATTGGATATCAGTCTATAACAAATCCTGTGTATCACACAGGGCCCTACTAGTATAAATATTAAGAAGTGCATTTATTACTTATAAATTTTATACAATTATATATAATATCTATATAAGGTGCAAGGCAAGGCACACACCTTTTTGAAGCAAGTTGCAAATTAAAAAAAAAATTGCAAAAATATTAAAAATCCAAAAAAAAATAAGAAAATACTAAAATTAATATCAATTCAGAATGCAAATTCTAATTTTATATTAAATATTTTAAAAAGCTTATTATCTCATTAAAATATATAACCATAACATATAAACATATTCAAAGTGAAAATGCAAACTACAAAATCAAACATAGCATATAAAACATATTCAAGTATGTTGAATTTTCAATTTCTTTCTTTTATAATTGCATTATTTCAAATAGATAATATGATGTTAAACATATTTTTATTCCTAATTCCATAAGCCGCCTTTGTACCGAGCCCCTTGAGGCAAGCCCAAACAAATCCATGATAGGGTCTTAAAATCTTAATCCCTACAAAAAAATGATTTTATAATTTTAATTATCATTTAGAAAATATCTTTTATTAGGAAGAATGAAAGAACAACATTAGCAAACAAGGGGTTCTAGGAGTTTTGGTGAGCAAGCAAAGCGCGAGATTTAACAAAGGTGCATTCCTAAGCTGAGGCGCAAAGCGTACCAGGTGCACACCTAAGCGCAGTAGGTATGTGCCTGTTCAGAGGGGTATAGTTTTAATTATCTTTTAGAAAATATCTTTCATTAGGAAGAATGAAAGGACGACATTGAAAAATAGGGGGTTCTCGTACCTTTGGTGAGCGACCGAAGCACAAGATTTAACAAAGGTGCATGCCTAAGCTGAGGTGCAAAGTGCATCATGTGCATGCCTAGGCACACACCTTCAAAGGGGCTGTGCTTGGGCCTAGGCGAGATGCAGACCCTAAAATCCTCCTAGCCTTTTAATGGGGTCAAATTTGCATACGATCAGATTATTAAACGGATGCAGGTTTTAATATCCAAATCCACAATAATCAGATCGGATTGGGTTTCAGACTTTTAAAGTCCATTGACAGCCCTAATATTGTGCATTGTGTTTTTCCATTCTTAGGTGTATTTTCAGTTTAAGTATTTTTTTTTCTTGCTCCCCTCTACCATTCCTTGTGTTAAGAAGCTTGTCTGGTGTATTACCAGTCTTGCATTGTTTCTTTCCTTTACCCATAGTTTTGGGCTAAAGGGCTAGTATTGGGTTAATATTATCTGAAAGTGGAAATACTTTGACCTGTTACTGATAAAAATAAAAAGGAAAAATACAAGTCAAGTTGGAGAAAATGACAAGAATTCCAGAAAGAGGGAAGAAAAAAAGTAGAAGGGAAAGCAATCAATGTTGTATGTATATATGGAAACAAAAAAGGACCTGATTTGTGCCTATAAGGTATAAATGAAAGCCAGTGAGACCACCAACGAACCACAGAGAAATGAAACAATAGGCCATAAGCACCACCGATGCAGGAGACTCTTTCATTGCCTTCCAAACTGTGCTATGATAGTTGCCCATGAGGATCTTAATGTACAGTGCTGACATGGCAAACACATAGATACAAAGAATGGTCGAAGAAGAAACAAACAGAAAGAAGTAACGGTAATTGCGCTGCACATTAACACAGGTAGTTGGAGTTATATTAAGGCAATTCTAATATGTAACCAAATGAGACAGCCCACTAAATGAGGAAGAGCTGTAAAGTGAATGTCAAACAGAATACCACTCCAATGCATTGGCCCACCCAAGGGCAATGGTGGTCAAATCGCTCCACACAGTTATTGCAGATGGAACAATGAGAGCAACGTGGAGGTCGATAAAGCATGCATGTATCACAATATTTCACCCTCACAGGCATGTCATTTACCATAACTTCTTTGGTCCGAGGGAATTGTAAGCTTGGTGTCTGCCTTCCACCAACTTCAACTGAAGCACAAGATTCATAAGAGAACTCTTCCTCCGGTGGATGTGAATTACGTGGAATAATACCTGGGTCCCCGGATGAAGTAATAAAAAGAAGCCCCAACACCTGTCAATAATAACATAGGCATTAAAATAACCACTGCCTAAAAACTTCAAAAGACTAAACGAAGAATCCAATACAAGGAAAAATACATAAAAGTAGGTTGTAGGCAAATGTTGATGAACACACAAATAACAAAAATGATAAATGAAAAATTGGAGCTTGTACTTTATAGAGAAAATTGGTGTTTAGGTTACCATCACGGAACTGATTTACTGAAGGGAAAGAAACAATGATAATGACCACATAAACATCCACAAAGAGGAAATACTTGGTGCATGATGTTCTAAGAGGTCCATTTGATGTTGAGGTGATGTAAATACCAACTGAAAAATACACAAGAGGATCAAGAGAACTGACGTAGATGGTAAAGACAATTGCTACCACCAGAATTGCATATCCTGCATTATATGATCGAAATTCATGGCGAAGATGCCTTGCAACAAGTGTGCAAAAGATAATCACAGGAACAAGGATAAGCAATACTGTCACAATCAATGACCTTGCATCTGGTCCAAATATTAACCTCCCACCACAGAAGAATTTCTGCAGGAAAAAACAGAAAAGCATATTAGACACAAAATAAAGTACAAAACCAACAGAGAAAACTTTGGCTTCAAAAATATTCGTAGAATAGAAAACCAATTACAAGGATCTTCCTGAATGCTGATAAGAAAATGTGAATGTACACATACCCAATGCATACAAGTGGGTAGGTAGGTAGGTATGTAGAGATTTTATATCATATTTTCCTCTAACAATGCTAAGAAATCACATCCATACCGATGATCCCTTTCTCTTTTTGTTTTTGAGAATACTACCAATCCCCTCATTCACAGAGATGCAAAACAGATTGAATTCAAAGCTGATATACCTAGATCTGAATTTGATTCATTAATATTCATATTCAAATTGAATGTTATCTGTTGGATTCAGAATAGACACAGTTAGGATTCAGATCGGGATTTTATAATATTATTAAAAAAACAAACTACAAATGATTTTAATATCATGAATAAAATCACTTAAAAGTAACTTATATGAGACTTCAGCCTATGACCCACTAATAAAATGTAAAACTCAAACCAATTATCCTAATAAATGTATGTTAGTTTTATGCATTAGTTTAAAATTTTTAGATATTTCCTTATAGTTCCATGAAATATTTTCATTTTCATAGGTACCAATGCAAAATATTACTAGAACCAAGGTTCAAAATATCGGTACGCCCAATATGCAGGTAGGGGTGTATCAGGCGAATCGATACTGTTTTTTTTTCTGAAACCGGTTCAAGGGGGCCAGTTTAGGGCTCCTCCACCCCCTGAACCGGTCAGACCCCCGGATACACCCACTATAGGAGTGTATCGGAGGGGTCCCGGAACGATACGTATCGGCCGATACGTGTTGATACTTTGAACCTTGACTAGAACATATCTCAACATATTCTCTGTTGTGTTAATATCAGTTATATTGTTTTCAACAAGTTCTAACATCATTTCACATCGTTAGTTATATTAAAAGTAATGTTATCCAAATAATTCGATTTATGTGATTCCTTTTTTAATTTATCATTATAGATGACTCTTTATATTGAATATAACATAAGAGAATAATATTTACAACCGACAAGGCTACAATATCAATAGCAGGTATTTTGTATAAGCGGAGGAAGAAAAAATCTTGGAATGATATACTTATTTTAAAGCATTGTTCTTGTTAATCACTTTATTTATAGTGGTAATGTGAATATTGAGATGGATGGATGGGAACAATGTTTTAAAAGCGCAAGGCAAGGCATGCGCCTTTTTGAAGCAAGGCGCAAAATTACAAAAAAATTGATAAAAAAATTAAAAAATGTCAAAATTTTCAAAAAATGCCCAAAATAAAAAATATATATATTGGACATAATATTAATAAGAAATATAAACTTAAGTTTTAAAGTTAATGGCTTAAAAAACCTATTATCTAAAATTAAAATACATAAAAATAACATGTAAAGCATATCTAAATGAAAATTTAAAAATAAAATCAAACATATAAAACATTTTCAAGAGTAGAAATCACTGATTGTAGATTTAGTTGAATTTCTTGTGAAAGGAAAAGGGGAGGAAGATAAAGATTTCAGTAGTAAAGAAGAAAAGAGAGGGAGAAAAGAGTGGGAAGTCAAATAGGATTCTTGAATTAACCCTAACCGCCAACCCCTCATTATATTTATACTTAACTTAAAGGATGAGATATTACAAGGATGCCCTTGGTAGGGCGGCTACTAATGTAGCTGAMCAGTCACAACTTAAAAACATAAACTAATGGGCCTAAAGCCCAACAACTTCCTAACTAAATAGCTTAAAATAAGAATAAAAAACAACGATGCCCAACTCAACACTCCCCCTCAAGTTGAGAGTAAATGTCACACATTCCCAACTTGCGTAGATCATGCTCTAGTTTGTTCTTTGCAACACCTTTTGTGAGAACATCCGCAAGCTGCAGATCAGAAGCAACGTATGGAAGACAAACTTCTCCAGAAGTTACTCTTTCTCTGATAAAATGTCTATCCACTTCAATGTGCTTAGTTCGGTCATGCTGGACTAGGTTATGGGCAATGTTAATTGTTGCCTGGTTATCACAGTATAACATCATAGATTTTTCTGCCTGTACACCAATTTATTCTAATAGGGAACGGATCCAAAGAAGTTCTGAAACTCCATGTGCCATGGCCCTGTATTCAACTTCAACACTTGATCTTGCCACCACTGTTTGTTTCTTACTCTTCCACGAGACAAGGTTACCCCCAACAAGGGTGCACACTCCTGAAGTTGATCTCTTGTCATCAAGGCATCCTGCCCAATTTGCATCTGTATAAGCCTCTAGTTTCAACTGTCCATGATTAATAAACAATATGCCTCTGTCCAGGTGTCCCTTCAGATAAGCAAGAATCCTGTCAACTGCCTCCCAATGCTGGACTCGTGGAGCATGCATGTATTGACTTACCACACTTACTGCATAGGAAATGTCTGGTCTTGTCATACACAAGTATAACAGCCGACCACAAGTCTTTGATATCTCCCAATGTCCTTTACTAGTTCACCTTCTGATGCATTGATTCTATGGTTCTGATCAATAGGGGTACTAATTGCCTTCGTTCCAAGCTTCCCTGTCTCTTGAAGAAGATCCAAGACATACTTCCGTTGAGAGATAAAAATTCCATGTTTTGATCTTGCAACTTCAATGCCTAGGAAGTATCTCAGTTCTCCAAGATCCTTAATTTCAAATCTTTATGTAGATTCCTTTTCAGACAATCAATCTCACTTAGGTCATTCCCCGTGACAACAATATCATCCACATAAACAATTAGGGCTGACACCAAAGATACCCTTCGCTTCACAAACAAGGTATGATCGATTGAGTCTGAATGTATCCAAAAGCAATGAAGGCCTTTCTGAATCTGTCAAACGATGCTTTGTTGGTGTTGTCTGAATGTTGGTTTACCTTTTGTTCTTAATCTGGATGGTAGTTTGTGCACAGTAGTGACTGATTGTGATTTGTTGTGAACCTATCACCTGAGTTTAGAGACTGTTATAATGTTGCATTGGCTACTGTAGTATTTGGTTGGTGACTGAGAGTTCAGCATTAGAGATAGTAGTGGGGGAGACATAATGGCAGCAACGGGAGATGGTTCTAGTGATCAAAAATCGAGTGTGATGATCCCCTCTGATTATTTGGGTGTGCAGATGACTTCCATTAAACTTAATGGTGAGAATTATGTGCCATGGGCCAAGTCAGTGAAAGTTTTCCTCAAGGCAAAGAGGAAAGTAAAACACGTGCAGGAAGATAAACCATCAACTGACTCTCTAGGGTTTGATGACTGGGAACAGGAAGATGCCCAAATCATGACATTGTTATGGAATAGTATGGAACCCAAAATAAGTACCAACTTTATGTTCTTAGATACAGCAAAGGACATATGAGAACATGCCAAGAAGCTTTATTCTGGGCAGGATAATACTACAAGGGTATATCAACTCTATCAAGAGTATTTCGATCTGCAACAAGGGAATAAAACCCTAGAAGAGTATTATGCCAGTATGAAGAACCTCAGAAATGAACTCAATGTCTATCATCCCCTCACTCCAAATGTTAAGGTTCAACAACAACAGAGGGAACAACTAGATGTCACTAGGTTCTTAGTGGGGTTGAAATCCGAATATGAACCAGTTAGGGTCCAAATATTGGGAGGCTCTATTCTTCCTACACTTGAAGAAGTTTTTGCACGGCTTCGTAGGATTTCTTTGGGATCTACAGAGAATCCCACACAATCTGACAGATCAGCATTTGTGATACCCAAAGGAGGTGGACGTGGTACTAGAGGGGAAAGACATGCCTCCCGAGGAGGTCGTGGTGGTTCCGTAATTGGTCGCGGTGGTGGTCGTGACTCAAGGGGAGGCCGTGGTAAAGGAAAAAGTAACTCTACAAGGAAGTGTACCCATTGTGGCAGGGACGGACATTCGATAAATTTCTGTTATGATCTCCATGGCCCTCCTTCTACATGGGCTAATCATGTAGTAGCTGGTGGGGTTGATGTCAGTGATAACCAACAGGCAAATCTAACACCTTCTACATCTACATCTGTTTCGGGGAAAGAGATGGTAAGTGTACCGCGCGATGAGTATGAGAGGTTCCTCCAAGCTACTTCACAGCATACTACAGCCACCCTTGCCCACTCAGGTATAGCTTGTCTGGCATCCAAACCCTCTCCTTGGATTATTGACTCTGGAGCCTCTGATCACATGACCGGGACTCCAGGTGTGTTCTCTTCCCTCTCTGAAACTTCCACATCTCAAACTGTTACCCTTGCCAACGGCTTCTCTTCTCCCATTTGTGGTGTTGGTAATGTTGACACGGCTTCTCTTTCTTTATCATCTGTTCTATATGTTCTAAGTTTCCATTCAATCTTATGTATATTAGTAAATTAACCAAGACTCTTAATTGCTCTATTACATTTTTCCCTTCCTTTTGTGTTTTTCAAGATCTCAAGACGGGGAAGAAGATTGGTGGGGGGCATGAGGCTGGTGAATTGTATTACCTTGACGGTGGTGGATCACCAGTTGCACTTTAGACTTCACTCACTCCTCTACAGTGGCATTGTCGACTGGGACATCCATCTCTCAAGGCACTCAAGATACGGGTTTCGTCTTTAAGTCATGTGTTGCCTTTACAGTGTGAGTCGTGTTAGTATGGGAAACATCGTCGGGTTCCCTTCAATCCTAGAGTTGATAGTCGTATGTTGAGTCATTTTTCTTTGGTTCATTCAAATGTTTGAGGTCCGATTAAAATAGAGTCTTATAATGGTTACAAGTATTTTGTCACTTTTATTGATGATTGTTCAAAGATGACATGGATTTATTTAATGAAAGAAATGAGTGAATTATTTTCTATTTTTCAAAAATTCCATGTTAAAATACGTACACAATTTGGTGTTCCAATCAAAGTTCTTCGTTTAGATAACGGTCGTGAATACTTTCTTACTTCCTTTCAACAGTATTTAGAACAGCACGGCATCATCCATCAAACTTCATGTGCATCCACTCCTCAACAAAATGGGGTGGTTGAACGAAAGAACCATCATCTCCTTGAAACTGCTCGGTCTATTCTTCATCATATGAGTGTTCCTAAACGATTTTGGAGTGATGTTGTACTTACCGCGTGTTTCCTTATTAATCGGGTGCCCTCCTTCATTCTTCATGGTCGGTCTCCCTTTTCTATTTTGTTCCCCACCTTGTCTCCCTTTCTATTAACACCCCACATCTTTGGTTGTGTGTGCTTTGTTCACAATCTGAGTTTTGGGATAGACAAGCTGGATGCACGCTCTATTAAGTATGTCTTTCTTGGCTACTCTCAGACTCAAAAAGGGTATAAGTGTTACAATCTCGTTACTCGGGAGTGCTATGTCTGTCCTGATGTCACCTTTTTTTAGTCAGTCCCCTTCTTCTCAGGACCTGGAGCATCGGTGTCTCCACCTTTACTTCCTCTTCCTCTTCCAATCTGTGATCCCGTTCCGGTTGTTCCAGTTGGGGTTAACCCTTCACCTCCTCCAGTGCAGATCCCTACTGAACGACCACCAATCCGGCACGTGTATACTCATCGACAAACACCGGCTCCTCCTCCAGCTTCTTCCTTGTCCGTGGATCCTGTTGTTGCTCCTGTCCCAGAACCTTCAGGACTTGATCTTCCCATTGCTTTACGGAAAGGTAAACGTAGTTATACCCTTCATCCCATTTCAAATTTTGTTTTAGTCTCTCGCCTTTCCGCTTCACATCGCCAGTTTGTTTCACTGTTGTCATCTATTTCTATACCTAAGAATGTCTAAGAGGCTCTTAGCTCACCTGGGTGGCGGCAGGCAACGGAGGAGGAACTCTCTGCCCTTCAGCATACTCAAACGTGGGAGCTTACTACTCTTCCTCTCGATAAGCATGTTGTGGGTTGTAAATGGGTGTATACTGTTAAGAACTTGCCGGATGGTAGTGTGGAGCGTCTGAAGGCCAGACTTGTTACTAAAGGTTATTCACAGTTGTATGGGGTGGACTATATGGAGACCTTCTCTCCAGTGGCTAAGATTGGCTCTATCCGTGTCTTAATTTCCCTGGCAGTTATGTATGATTGACCCTTATTTCAACTTGACATTAAAAATGCCTTCCTTCATGGTGACCTTATGGAGGAGGTATATATGGAGCAACCACCTGGGTTTGTTGTTCAAGGGGAGGATGGTAAGGTGTGCAGATTGAAAAAGGCAATTTATGGGTTGAA